GGAAGGAAGGAAGGAAGGAAGGAAGGAAGGAAGGAAGGAAGGAAGGAAGGAAGGAAGGAAGGAAAGAAGGAAGGAAGGAAGGAAAGAAAGCAAATTCTGCATCCCCGCCCCGACCCACGCATCAGAGACTCTGGGGGCAGGCCCGGCTCTGTTGAGCCCTCTGGATGACGCTGCTCAAGCTTGGGAACCACTGAACTAGAGTGAGCTCCCTTCACCTACTGCCATCGCCCAGCCTCTCCTCCTCATTCATTCTGCAAACACCTGCAAGCGCCTACTGAGGCTTGCTCTGGGCCTGCCCTGGGCTGGCGGGGGCAGGGGCAGAGGTGGACCTGACCGAATCCCTGATCTAGACAGCAGAGCAGGAGAGGGTGTGCTGCCCAGAGCCAGGGTGCCCAGTGCCGGTGCCAGTAGACTGGCGTGCTGGGGAGTCCAGAGGAGGCAGGGGCTGACTGACCGCCAGAGGGACCGGCTGGTGTGTCCAGGTCTGAGGGCTGCAGCCCCAGCTGTTCTCTCCTCAGGGGGATGACGGGTCACCAAGCCAACCAGGGCTCCCTGGACCCCCAGGGCCCAAGGTAGGTCTGTGCCCTTCCCCCAGAGGTCCCCTGCCTACCGCCTCCCACTGTTGCCATCTGCCTGGTGAAGCCCCAGGCAGACGGAGGGCCCTGGACCCCACTCGCCAGCAGCCAGGCATCTGATCCAGGCCATTTGCCTCTCCTCCTGCCATCAAGTCCTCTTGGTTCCCATCTTAAGTGACCCCACTCTGCCCTGTACCTAAGCCTGGAACAGGGTGTCATCCTCACACCGTTCTCCCCCAACCCTCACAATGGCCACCAAACCCGGGCCAGCCTACCTCTAATATGTCTCTTGAGCCCCTGAGCTGCCCCAAGTACATGCCAGGACCCAGAGAGGAAGGTGGCAGCCATGGCCCTGAGTCCCCTGGGCTGGGGAGGGCCCTGAGGTCTGTCCCCCTGCCCTGGGTGGGCTCAGGCACGTTCACCAGACGAGGCCCAGCAGACCCAGGCTTGCCCCCTGGTGCTCACTCTCACCATGAATGTTTCTTCCTCAGGGCGAGCCAGGGGGTGTGGGGCCCCAAGGAGAGAACGGCATGGATGGTGCCCCGGGACCAAAGGTGACATTAGAGTGCGCTGCTCCGGTACCTGCAGGCCCTGTACTTGGTTGCGACTGACCCAGTCAGGAGGGAGAGATGTGGCTTCACCTACAATCTGCCCTTCTTAAGTGGGGAATCCAAGAGGGCCTGGGCTGAGGGGTCTCCTTCAACTCACAGTTGGAGGCTGGCCTGGGGGTGGGTGGCAGCGAATCTGGGTGAGGGACAAGCCTCTGTCCAGGCCCAGCTTTGTGGCTAACTCACCGTGTAGCCTTGGGCTCCTGGACCCTACTGTCCCCATCTCTATAGAAATGTGAGGCCTAATGTGAGGGTCCCACTCCCAGAGTGCCATTCTCACACATTAGGCCATTAGGGCTCCAGTGCGTGAGCCCTGGGCCCTTTTGGGAAGAGGCAACTAGAGGTGGGGTGCAGGAGAGGGATCTTTTGGCTTCAGCCGAGTACTCCGGTAGGTCTGCACACTCGTGCACACCTGGCTGCAGCTGTGTTTCTCTGCAGGGGGAGCCCGGCCTCCGAGGAGCCGATGGAGCCGCAGGGCCCCGGGTAAGCACCCTCCCCTCAGGCCACACTGGTGGGATCCAGGGGCCCAGATAGCTTCAGAAGGCCCTGTCCCCACAGAGACCCCAGAGGAGCAGTGGAATTACAGGAACTGGAAGTCTCTAAATTTTTTAAATGATTTATTAGTGATTTCTTAAATTTTATAATACACCCTTTTGGTAAAATGCTCAAATATGGATGTGTCCAGACCTCGCCCCTCGTTTCTCTCTCCCAGGCAAGTGTACGCCCCCCTAGACTCTTCCTTGCATATTCAAACATGGGTCCTCAGTGTGTCATATACGGCATGACCTACCCAGGGTGCGGTGGGCCTTGCCTTTTCCCAGCCCCACATGAGGCTCGTCCCTGTTGCCAGGAGCACAGCCACCCCAGCCACTCTCAGATCTTTTGTGGTGAACCCCTATCAACATACTTTAAAGCTGACATCTGGGATCCTGTCCTCGGCTCTGTCGCCTCCAATGATCATGTACCCACATGCTTACAGGGGCTGGCTTTCTCCTCCAAAAAATGGGTCTGAAGCCCCAGCCTGGCTGTGCAAGTGGCTGGGAGATTGGATTAGGCAGTGGGTGTGGGAACTGTGTATAAACTGGACAGTGCTGTGCAGGTCCTGGCCATGGGGCCCAGGCCTGGGTCTCTCTGTCCCGCGCAAGGGGTTGTCCTGAACCAGAGTGCTCAGGACCCTTTACTGTTCTCACAAAGAGCAGCCTGGGTGGAGAAGAGAGGTTCAGAAGGGACAGGCTGGGCCAGTGCCAGTGCATGCAGACACGTGTGGGCGTGGGCATGGGCAGGCATGTGCTTGTCAGCAGGAACGCATGAGGACGTCAGTCACAGTACGTACAGCCTCTACCAGAGGCTGGGAAATGGGGGCAGGAGGGCAAGACCCAGCCTGCATGTGTCTTTCATTAGCCTACACCATGCTGTGGAGGGTTCAGGGTGTTTGTCTTTGTTTGGCAACATTTAAAATCTGAAGAACTTCCCAGCAACATTGGGGTTCTCGTTTTCCCTTGAGAACTCAGGAATCAGGTCTCAGTGGGCTTGAAGGTCACGAAGGTCAATTACAGCCACCCCTCAGACCAGGCCCCAGCCCCCCGCCTTCCCCTTCCCTCACGTGCTGGGACCCCATCAGCTGACATCTGAGAGCCAGCGCACCCTGGGCAGCTGGCACACAGCACACCGGCATCGTTCACCTCCTCTCTGGGTGTGACACCAAGATGCCACCACTTCACCCACCACTGTACCTCTTTCCTGAAGTTCTTACTCTTCTTCCTGCCTCAGGGTCCCCCGGGTCCCAAGGGCGAGCAAGGAGACACAGTGGTGATCGACTACGATGGCAGGATCCTGGATGCCCTTAAGGTAGTGCTCCTGGTGGGGCCTCGTTTCCTGCGCCGAGAGTGAGCGCTCACTCTGTGCACTCACCCTGCTCTTCTGGACCAGGGGCAGCTTAGCACAAAGAGCCCAGCTTCGTTAGGTGCCTGATATGGGAATCAGTGCTGTGTCGAGACCCACATGATGCTGAGAGAGCTGCTGTGAATGTGGCCAGATGGCTCGAGCTCCCCAGAGGCCAAAGCAAAAAGGGAAACCCCCTCAGAGCAGGAGGCAGAGCCTTTCCTGGTATCTAGTCCCAGCAGTGTCTCCCGGGCCTTCCCGGGGAACCCTGGCTGGAGGGCTGGGTCTTCAAGTAACTACTGGGGGGACGCTGAGTGGTACGGCCTGTCCCAGGAGCCTCAGGAGGTGTGTGGCCTCTGAGCCCTGCCCAGGGACTGGAGAGAGTTTGGGTGCCAGGTGCTCACAGGTACCAGGGAAGGGAGCGGGTGGAGGGGGGCATGGTCTTCAGAGACCAGACTGGGCACTGGCATCTGACTCCGCCTGAGTTTCAATTCCAGTTCTCTCCCACAGGCCTCAGGGAAATACAAGTTGATGGTAACTGTGGCCCACCCCAGGCCTGCATGGTGTGGTGTGGTGTCACGTGGTACCGAGAGCATGCACGTGCATGGGGTATCCCAGGCTGCCTGGGAACCACAAGGGAGGGGCTCTGTGTGTGCAAAGAGGCAGGAGGTGGATTTTGGATGCCAGACTGCGGTGATGATTTGGTTTGATGGGCAGCAGACAGCCCCAGTTGGTTCTTGAGCAGGCGGATGACAAAAACAGTGTACTGGGGGAAGGCTGACTGGGGGACAATGTGGAAGGTGAACAAAAGCAGCGGGGAGCTGGAAGCAAAGAGCCCACTGAGGAGTAGGCACTGGGCCTGGGCCTAGAGGAGAGTGGGTAGAATGGAGGACATGTAGGAAGACCATCTCAGTGGAGATGCCAACAAGAAGGGAGCAGGTTGGAGAGACAGGTGGAGGGAAGGGACTAGAGCTTGTTAGGCAGGGGAGGGGGCGTTGGGCAGGGTGGCCTTAGGGAGGAGACATGAATTTGGGGGCTGAGTACGGGGTGATGACGAGCCACGGAGGGCTGGCAGCCTGTGGGAAGTCTGGGTCAGGACAGGAGCTTGAGAGTGGGTTCAAACCTTGAGATGCTAAAGACCCCATCCCCAACCAGTGAGACTGAGGAACTCCCCAGGACTAGCAGGCAGCAGGCAACAGAATCAGAGGGTCAGAGAGCTCACAGGACAGACAGAGAGAGCGGGCTGGGCCACTGTTGGGGATGTGATTTTTCCTGGCCTTGAATGCCAGCAGGAGATTTAAGCTTGCTTCAAGAGGCGATAGGGAGCCATTGCAGAATCTTGAGCAGGGGAGTGTTGTGAAGAAGTCTATATTTGGGAAAGACTGAAGGCCAAGGGAGTCTGAGCCCTCTGTGGCAGCAGACACTGTGCTATCTTATCCAAGGCTGGGTACTGCCTCCCTGGCCTTCCCCAAGACCTGGGGGCCAGACCAAGCCATGTGCAGTGTGGCCCAACTTAACAGGGAGGGGAGCAGGCTCTGAAGGCCCTGGACCCTGCTGCAGCTCAGCTGGACAGTGACTTGGCTCCAGGTGGAGGGGCTGGGTGGGCAGTGAGGGGCAGATCTTGCCTAACCACTGACTGCTCGACTTTTCCACACAGGGTCCTCCTGGGCCTCAGGGGCCCCCGGGGCCACCAGGAATCACTGGAGCCAAGGTCAGTACAGATGCAGCTACAAGGTCCCCCAAGCCCTTGCCTCTAGGGCCCACTTCTCCTCTCCCTTCTGTCATGGGCCCCTCCACTTCCCTCCTGGTGTCCTAGCCTGGCTTCTGGGGGATCAGAGAAAGGGGCCCTGCACCTTCCTAATCGAGCTGGTGCCTTCGTCCCAGGCCCTAGCTGCTCCTTGGGAAGCCTCATTCAGTTTAAATTGAAAAAGCAGCCCCTCATGACATCACAGTCCCGCAGATGTACGTATCAGTTCCTGTGGCTTGTACTATTCATTTACACCCTGCCCACCTGTCTCAGGAGAAAGCCCAAGACTTTGGAGTCAGGCAGGTCTGGTCCTGGCACTGTTGTAAATGGACTCTGTGGCCTAGAGTAGGTCATTTAATCCCCGAGCCTCAGCTTCCACATCTGTAGCACATCAGCCTGTACAGCACAGCCATGGGCTATGTCTGCCCGTGAGGGGCTGAGGAAATGAAGGGGAGGAGGCAGTGGGTGCCCGGCACGGTGGTTGGCAGCCAGTGGGCGCCTTCTGGGAGGTCCAACTGCAGGGACCCAGCCCAGGGACCATGCGCTAGTCAGTGAGGCAGCTGGCCCCATCCCCCCACAGACCCCTCTCCGGCCGAGGGAGGCATAACTCCTCTTGCCTCTGTTCCCTTCCAGGGTGAGCTCGGATTGCCCGGTGCCCCAGGAATCGATGGAGAGAAGGTCTCTGGGCCTTTCATTTCTTTGGCGATGCCTGTGCTTGGTATTGGGCTGTGTGCGTGTGTGTGCATGTGTGATCCTAAGCAGACATGAGTGTGTCAGTGGGTACAACTTGATATCCATGGGTGTGTCTCTACTGCTGGGTCCCTAGTGTGTGGCACACCTTGGACATTACATAATTGAGTGAAGTAATGCAGTGGCTCAAAGGGAATGTGGGAGTTGGGGGCTCCCGCCCCTAACTCCTGAGATGTGATCACAGAGTTGACCCCTTGAGTGCCCCGAGGGGGCTGCCCAGTCCCACATGCTCCACTCCCTCCACCTACCTCCTCCCCCAGCTGCCTGCATCCCCACATGCAGTTAGGCAGGGGTGGGATGCCCCCTCTCGGTCTCCACCCAGCCTTTCACCCCCAACCCCCACATTCAGCCAAGGCTCCCAGCTACCCAGGCTGGAGCTGGGGACCCACGAGAAGGAAGTGGGGGCCTGGCCTGAGCTCTGGGGATCTGCTGGGTGAGAGAAGGGAGAGCCCCACTGATCCCTTGTTCTTGTGGCTTTCAGGGTTCCAAAGGACCAAAAGGAGACCCAGGGGAGCCTGGGCCAACTGGACTCAAAGGGGAAGTGGGGGAGATGGGCTTGCCCGGCCTCCCGGTATGTGGCTGGGCTGGGCCCCGCCCTTCTTGTTGGATGCTGGGGGCTCCCGAAGTGGATGTGTGCCCACCACGGGGCGCCGCGGGGGGCTATGGGGAGGGTGGGGAGGCAGGTTGGGAAGGGCAGGGTGTGCCTCTGCACAGGCCCTGCAGTCTCAGCTCCCAGCCCAGCCCGGGGACACTCTAGGCCGCTGGCCAACACTGCCCTGACTCTGTGCCTCCACTTCCTCATCTGTAAAACCTTGCACCTACCTCTCCAGGCCTCCCTAAAGATGAAACAGGGAGGCCTGGCCCAGAGGAAGCGAGTTGGCGGGTGGTTAAACTATGTGCCCAGACCTGAGCCGCCCGAGTTTGCATCCAGCTCCATCTCTGCTGACTAACCTCCCTGGGCCTCAGTTTCCTCACCTCTAAAATGGGGATGATAATGTCCCACTCGCATGAGGGAATGCATGGACAGGGCTGAGAATGGTGGCTGGTACACAATAAATGCCTGCTATCATCGTCATCGTCATTTTGTTGGTGCCCTTGTCACAGCCGGGTTGGAAGAGCTGCAGGTATTGAGTGGCCACTGGGTGCCCATCACATCAGATCCATTGTCCATCATCAGGACCACTCAGCTGGAGGTGGTGCTGGGGCTTGAACCTGGGTCTTTACTTCAGAGCCCCTGGTCACTCCCTGCACCACAGGAAAACAACCTGTATGTGCTGTCTAAATACCCACTCTGCTTGCCACTCTGGGCATGTCGCACTGATATGGGGAAAACTTTTTTAAGCTTCAAGGACTAGGAAGGGGGGGGCCGGCCCGTGGCTCACTCGGGAGAGTGCGGTGCTGACAACACCAAGGCCACGGGTTTGGATCCTATATAGGGATGGCCGGTTTGCTCACTGGGTGAGCGTGGTGCTGACAACACCAAGGCCACGGGTTTGGATCCTATATAGGGATGGCCGGTTTGCTCACTGGGTGAGCGTGGTGCTGACAACACCAAGGCCACGGGTTTGGATCCTATATAGGGATGGCCGGTTTGCTCACTGGGTGAGCGTGGTGCTGACAACACCAAGGCCACGGGTTTGGATCCTATATAGGGATGGCCGGTTTGCTCACTGGGTGAGCGTGGTGCTGACAACACCAAGTCAAGGGTTAAGATCCCCTTACCGGTCATCTTTAAAAAAAAAAAAAAAAAATAGACAAGGACTAGGAAGGGAACGTAGCCAAGCACCGTGGGTGGTGGTTTTGGTGCTAAATAGAGACTCAACCGGCCATCCCATCTTGTAGGGCGCTGATGGCCCCAAGGGAGAAAAGGGAGATTCGGCTTCTGACAACCTACAGGAGAGCCTGGTAAGGGGGAGTCACTGAGGGTCGGTGCTGACCATACCCAGGGCAATAGGGGAGGAGTAATTAGGGGCCTCAGGCTGTGTCCCCCATCTGAGAATCCAAAGGACAGCCATGGAGCCCCTCACCAAGCTGTGCCCTCCTGGGGACAGAAAGTAGCCTCACGCCAGGGGCTCAGGGCTCAGTGCACAAGAGTGTGGGCAGCTGAGGGGTGATGGGGCAGTGGGTGACTGACCCATCTCTGACCCTTCCTAGGCCCAGATCATAGTGGAACCAGGGCCCCCTGGCCCTCCCGGTCCCCCAGGCCCTATGGTAAGGATGGTTTGGCTTGGAGCAGCAGCCAGGAAACCTAGAGGGTGGTGGGTCCGGAGCCATGAGTCAGGGGAGGACAGAATTCTTTATGGGGGAGCAGGGCATGTCAGGCAAAGAGTGCAGAGCCTGGGTCAGGGCAGCGGGAGCCAGAGAGGGGCCTGAAGCCTCTGTGGCTGCTGCAGGAGAGCCCTGGGGCCTGGACTTGGCTGGACAGCTGCTCTGATCTGCCTTCTTCTCCTCCTCCTCCAGGGCCTTCAGGGAATCCAGGGTCCCAAGGTGAGTGGGTGAAACCCCCCCTCAGGCTGTGAGCCTATGCAGGTTCAGAAAGCCTTGCTAATGGGCAAAGTGACAGCCCCACGCTCAACCGGCCTGGCCCTGAGTCTTCCCAGGATCTGAGCATTCCCAGTCCCCTGGAGCATAGACTCCCTGAGTTCGTGGAGCTGGTGCCACCACCCCCATGCCGTCCATCTCCTGCTGCTTCTACCTCCTTGCCCCGCTCCTCCACCTTTCTCTGCACCCCCCTCTTCCCAGTACTGTCCCTGCCTCCCCCGCCCCCCACCCCCATGCACATCTGTCTCAACTGCCCGCAGGCTAAACATGAAGTCTAGGGTTTGGCGTGAATTACACAATGTTATGTTCTGTGCTCTTAAAACTGCAAGAGTGGCCTGCCCATGTGCCCTGCCCCAGGGAGGCAGACACAGAGGCCAGGTGGCCTCACGGCTTGTCAGGGCTTGTCACGCCAGGAGTTACCCAGGAGGAGAGCACATCTCTGCTTCCCAGCTCAGAGGCCTGATGGGAGACTCAGAGACATGGGATCCCGGACCTGAGTGGGGCCGAGCATGTGGCCCAATCACATGCACTGCTTCTAGTTCTGTTTTTTTCCCAAGGCCTCCCCAGCTTATGTTTAGAAGAGGCAGCTGCTGTTGGGGATGGGGTTCAAGGCTGGAGCTCAGAACCTGATTGATCCTCAGCCCTGCCACTTCCCAGCAGCGTGGCTGGGCTTGTCCCTGCCTCTCTCTGCACTGGCTTTCCTCATCCATAGAACGGGTGTGAGCATAACTACCTCCTATGACAACCGATGGAGCCTTCCCAGGAGAAAAGGGAAAATGCACTTGCCCATAGCTCATTCTGATTATTCTTGCCATGGAGCAAGCCAGGGCCAGGCCCGTCACAGCCTGGTGTCTGTCCTTCTGCCATGCACACCCCGGCTCCCACACAGGCCCCAAGCTTTCCTGTCCTGCCGTCTGTCTAACCCCAACCCCCTGACTGATTTACCCACTTCGCTTCCAGGGCTTGGATGGAGCAAAGGGAGAGAAGGGTGTGTCGGGTGAGAGAGGTCCCAGCGGCCTGCCTGTGAGTGTCACGAGCCTTTTTGTCCCTAGAGGCATTAATTCCTGTAACTATCATGCCTCTTGACCCATACCTTTTCCATCCAGGGGCCGGTTGGCCCACCAGGCCTTATTGGGCTGCCAGGAACCAAAGGAGAGAAGGTAACCACCTTACTTGGACCCCCTTTCCCCACTGTGGCCACATGTCCGTGGTGTCACTCAGCCCTGGGGGCTCAACCCCTGTACCTGGCTGGGTCCTGCACCTCACAGGGCCAGAGTTTAGGCTCTGTGGATATCATGTCTGCCCTGCCCTGTATCTGTACCTGCATGGTCAGTGGGTCTCCCTAACCCTATGCCTGTGGCCAACCCACAGGTCTAAAGCTCGCAGCAGCTGTGCTCCCAGTACCCCCTCCCCTGCCCCTCTCACCCTCTCCTTGTCTCTCCTCAGGGCAGACCAGGGGAGCCAGGACTAGATGTAAGTGTCTTATCCTTCATTTTGAATGATCGGGACCTGCCTGTGTGTATCTTCTGCCCTCATGTTGTCCACACAGTAACCTGATCCGACTAGCTCAAGTGTGACCCCCTCCCCAGGGCTGGGACTGCAACTGACTAATTCCCCCTGTGTCCTCAGTGTCAAGTCCAGTGCACAGTCCAGAGTAGGTGCTTTATGGATGGAGGATGGATGGATGGATGGATGGATGGATGGATGGATGGATGGATGGATGGATGGATGGATGGATGGATGGATGGATGGATGGATGGATGGATGGATGGATGGATGGATGGATGGATGGATGGATGGATGGATGGATGGATGGATGGATGGATGGATGGATGGATGGATGGATGGATGGATGGATGGATGGATGGATGGATGGATGGATGGATGGATGGATGGATGGATGGATGGATGGATGGATGGATGGATGGATGGATGGATGGATGGATGGATGGATGGATGGATGGATGGATGGATGGATGGATGGATGGATGGATGGATGGATGGATGGATGGATGGATGGATGGATGGATGGATGGATGGATGGATGGATGGATGGATGGATGGATGGATGGATGGATGGATGGATGGATGGATGGATGGATGGATGGATGGATGGATGGATGGATGGAAGGATGGATGGATGGATGGAAGGATGGATGGATGGAAGGAAGGATGGATGGATGGAAGGAAGGATGGATGGATAGATTGATGGAAGGATATGGATGGATGGATGGATGGATGGATGGATGGATGGATGGATGGATGGATGGATGGATGGATGGATGGATGGATGGATGGATGGATGGATGGATGGATGGATGGATGGATGGATGGATGGATGGATGGATGGATGGATGGATGGATGGATGGATGGATGGATGGATGGATGGATGGATGGATGGATGGATGGATGGATGGATGGATGGATGGATGGATGGATGGATGGATGGATGGATGGATGGATGGATGGATGGATGGATGGATGGATGGATGGATGGATGGATGGATGGATGGATGGATGGATGGATGGATGGATGGATGGATGGATGGATGGATGGATGGATGGATGGATGGATGGATGGATGGATGGATGGATGGATGGATGGATGGATGGATGGATGGATGGATGGATGGATGGATGGATGGATGGATGGATGGATGGATGGATGGATGGATGGATGGATGGATGGATGGATGGATGGATGGATGGATGGATGGATGGATGGATGGATGGATGGATGGATGGATGGATGGATGGATGGATGGATGGATGGATGGATGGATGGATGGATGGATGGATGGATGGATGGATGGATGGATGGATGGATGGATGGATGGATGGATGGATGGATGGATGGATGGATGGATGGATGGATGGATGGATGGATGGATGGATGGATGGATGGATGGATGGATGGATGGATGGATGGATGGATGGATGGATGGATGGATGGATGGATGGATGGATGGATGGATGGATGGATGGATGGATGGATGGATGGATGGATGGATGGATGGATGGATGGATGGATGGATGGATGGAAGGAAGGATGGAAGGAAGGATGGATAGATGGATGGAAGGAAGGATGGATAATGGGTGGATGATGGAAGATGAATAGATGATGGACGGATGGGTGGATGATGCATTGTAGCAGGGAGGTGGGGAGAGCAGTGAGGAACCTGTTGCAACATCCTGGTGAGAGATGATGAGGCTTCAGCTAGGGCAGTACTGTGGCAAGGAGAGGCCAGTGCTGATGTATCTAGCCTCTTTTGGTAGCAAAGGTATAAAATGTAGTTTAAACTGACTTAAAATGACTCATAACTGAAAAGTCCAGAGGTTGAACACATGAATCCAAGCTCAACTGTGTCAACACAGCTCAGCATTTCACTCTCTCGTCTCTGCCTTCCCTGTGTGGGACTCATTCCCACGTGCCCCATGGTGGTGAGGCAGAGCCACAGCTCCAGACCTGCATCCTCCCAGTCCCAAATCCAGAAGACAGAACACTTGCCTCACTCTTCTGCTCTGGAGACAGTCTCCTTGGCTCTCATTGGCCCCAGTTAGGTCAACACTGAACGTAGCTGGCCATAGGAATGCAGCACACTGATTGGCCAGGCTTGATCATGTGCTCAGCCTTGGAGCTGGGGGTGGAATCAATGGACTGTGAGAAGGGCAGGTGGTTCCCAGGAAAACCAGGTAACTATTGCAAGGGAAATAGTGACCAGTGGCAGGGCTGCAAGGACTCTCTCTGGTGTCCACCCCAGAGCAACTGTTTACATGGAAGAGAAAGAACTCTAGCCTGGGTTTCTGACTGGCAGGGCCATGTGCCATCGATGAGAAAGAAAAGATGACAATGCTAAATCCAGTTCAGGCTCTGGGCCCAGGGAGGTCATTGGGGTTGGAGCTAAAGAGACTCTGTGCCACCATGAATGTGGCTGCAGCTGCCCTCCAGAAGGCCTGGAGCTCAGGGTGGCATCTCAAAGGCATGCCCACCTGCGGTACCTGGCAAACCCCTCCTCCACTATACCATGTCCAACTGAAATGGGACCCTGCTCACAAGCTTCCTTTGATGCTCAGCCCTGGATAGAACAGTCCTTTCCCCCGGGAGCCTCCCAGCCCTGTTTCATACCTCTGTCACTGAACATTAACTGTCATCATTGAACTCTGTTGACCGCCCCATTAGACATGAGAGAGGGAACGTTTCGAATCCATTTCTCTGTCCCCAGGGTCCAGCCTACAGCCCAGTTCCTAGTGAATGCTTAGTCATGTTGATTAAATGGATGGACAGATAGATGAATGGACAGATGGGTGTATAAGAAATTGAGTCAAGGCTGGCCATTTGGCTCAGTCGATTAGAGCGCAATGTTGATAACACCAAGTTCAAGAGTTCGCATCCCCTTACTGGCCAGCTGCCAAAAAAAAAAAAAAAAAGAAATTGAGCTGAGGGCAGAGAACAGATTTCTCATTCTGTGAAAGATGGTGACATAAACTTCCATGGGTTTCCTGGGTCTCCGTTCCCAGCCAAGCCTGGGTCAGCGCTGGCGGGATCTGACTGTGACGTGAGAGAAGCCCCCTGCTAGCAGCTCTACCTGAGGGCTTCCACCCAGACGCACCACGGTGGTCTGCTTTGGAAGAAGCAGAGCTGGTGCCCTAAATGCATGCTTTTCCCCACATCAGCCTTGCACCCACACAACAGTGGGGGCCGGGCCAGTTTGTGCCACAAGTATGTATGGAGGGAGGAGCCAGCAGATGAACAGATACCAGAAGAGCAAACTGCAAATCCCATTTTCAGGTTTAACTTTTAATCTTTTCCTCAGGGTTTCCCTGGACCCCGAGGAGAAAAAGGCGACCGGAGCGATCGTGGGGAGAAGGTGGGGGCAGCAGGAGAGATCGGGGAGGCAGGTGGAGAAGCTGGGGTGGCGGGCAGGGATGAGGGCAGGTGGAGGCTGGCACTGAAGCAGCAGGGCAGGGTGGCTGCTGGCCCAGCCCATCTCTCCACCACCATCTCCCTTCTTGTGCAGGGAGAGCGGGGTGTCCCCGGCCGGAAAGGAGTGAAGGGCCAGAAGGGTGAACCAGGACCTCCAGGCCTGGACCAGCCATGTCCTGTGGTACGTGTCAGAACAGGACAGGAGCCCCAACATAGGCCTTTCGGCCTCCAGCCAGGGTCAGGCCAGCATCCTGCTATCCTCGGAGCCCAGCTACAAGTCCCAGAGGCCACACTGACCCCACACCGGGGTGCCCACACTGCTGGGGCCACCACTGCTGCCACCACCATCATCACGGCCCCACTCTCTCCGGTCCTGACTCCCTCCATGGGTACAGTTGGGGAACCCTGCCCTTTTGTGGAGATAGAGACCCAGCCAAGGGCAGAGTCTGCATGCCAGGGTCACTGTCCCCTCTTTACTCAGCCTCAGGGCAGGCCTGGCTTGAGTGGGAACCCACCTTGGGCCATCTTGGGAGTGAAAGGGGGCCAGATCAGGAGTGGAGCTGGCTTTACCCAGAATCATCAGTGGGAGTGGACTAGACCCAGGGAAGGGAAGCCTGGCAGCCATGGGCTGCTGGGGCGGGAGCAGTGGCACCCAGTCCCATGGCCCTTGCCACCTGGGGCCCCAGACTGGGTCTGACTCCCTCTGGGCTTGAGGCCAGCCTGGGCTGAAACAGCTTCCCCAGTCATAGAGGGGGTGGGACCCCCCTGACTTCTTTGGGTGTCTACCACTCCCCTTCTTTCCTCTCCTTCCCAGAGGGGTCTTTTTCTGGACTGGGATAGCCCTGCCTTTTTCCCTGCATCCCCTCCATGTGCCCCAAGCCCCTTCCTTTACCTCCTCCCACTTTCCCCCTTTCCTGCTCCCACACAATAGCCTTGATAGCCCACTGGATCCCATGCCTTGTGCCTGCAGCAACCATGATTCGGTTCCCTTTTTCTAGAAGGCAGGGAGGGTTTACATGTCAGACCCTTCCAGTAGAGCTCAGAAAAGGCAGGAAAAACAAAACAGCTGGGGTTCCATACTAAACCTGGCCAGGTATTCACCACCAAGCCACCCCAGTCAGGAGCATGGGGAGAGGGTCTCCAGCCAAGATGTGTACAGGCTGACCTCCAAAGGGGCATTGGAGCCAGGGACCCCCATGCAGTCATCTGGCCTCAAACAAGTCATTTTGGCCCTCTGTTCTTCAGTCTCTTCATCCATAAAGTGGAAGTGGTGACCTACCCCTGGGTGGTTTTGAGAAGTCAATGAGAAAAAGATACAAAGAGCAGAGGGGTGAGCCCAAGGAAGGGCAGGGACAGCAGGGGCTCGAGGTGGCCCAGCCTGCAGCTCCAGCACCTGGGCCAAGGCTTCCCTCCAAGTCAGTAAGCTTTTGTCTTTGAAACAGGAGAATCCTAAATGCGGAGGCAGGCGAGGGGCACTGGGCTGGAGGGGCCCAGCGAGGGTCAATGGGCCTTGCCCTGCGGTACGCGTGTGACCTGCTGCATGCTGTGTGTGCTGGATCCCTGGCTCTGCCCCACCCCTCACTTCGGCCCACCTTCCCCATGGTCCCCAGCCTGTGCGCCTGGCGTGTGCATGAAAATATTCCAGAGGGTGTGCTCCGTGTGTCTGAGGCCCGTGCCTGTGCTTTGGAACAGAATGAAGTGTTTTCCACCTTGGATCTCCCAGCGACTTTAAGCTGATGGGTCAGTCTTTGTCCCTCACCAGGCCCCCATCCACCAGGCCACCTGGGAAACCCACCCCTGCTTGTGTCTGACTGCTGAGAGGGCATTGCCAATGCCTCCAGACAACCCCACCCCCACTCCCAGTTTCCACCCTGACAGCCTGAGCCTGCCTGTCTGCCATTCACGGGCCAGAGGGGGATGCCATCTCCTGAGCGGTCCTTAAAACACTCCCGGAGGCACTCCTGCCTGAGGCCTGGAAGCTCTCAGGCCCCCAGGGTGAGGGGCCAGAGCCAGTGTCCCTGCCTCCAGGCAGAAAGCCACACAGCCCCTCCACAGGGACAAGGCCAATGCCTCCTCCTGGCCAGCAAATGTCTGGCACAATGCCTATTACTCCATAGTGTCCCCCTATTTCTGCCCACCGCACAGGTGTCCCAACAAAGCACAGTGGGAACACACTCAGGACAAGTGCAGTGAGGGGCCGTTGTGTCCCAATGACCCCACTACCTAGTTGAATGAGGAGGCATTCCAGCCCTGCCTCCGGGCAGTCCAGCGGCCTCACATGGCAGCTCCCTAGGCTGCATCTCCCTACACACCCAGGAAGGGGTGTGTGGAGTATAGAGAGTTCACCAGACTCCCTTCCCTGTCACCGAAACCTTCTTCCTTTCCAGGGTCCCGATGGGCTGCCTGTGCCTGGCTGCTGGCATAAGGTACCTTGTGGGGAAGAGTCTCAGGGTAGGCTCAGAGGAGCCAGGTGGCAGGGAAGTGGGGGGATGGAGAGGGCCCCAGGGCCTGGATGCTGTCACTCTGAGTTCTGGATATGTGCAGCTCCCCACAAAGTGACTGAATAGCCAGGTTTCCTCATCACTACCAAGGTTTTGACTTTCCCATCATGTGGCTGAGGCTTGGATCTGTGGTCCTGGGTGATTGTGTATAATCCACCCTGTTGATCATCTGGGGCCCAGTCAGCACCGGGCCCCAGATGACCAATACAAAGATGACTGATGGCCAATGCAAAGCCATCAGTCCTGAGACTGTGTCCAAAGTGCCCCACCGAGAGGGAGTGGAGGTCAGAGGCCTGAGAAGAGAGCATGGGGACCGTGTCAGTTCCCAAGGAAATGGGCAGGACCAGGGACGCCAGAGTGGGGCAGCCCAGGTGGGGCAGGGCCACCCCTCCTCACCTTCAGTCTTTCCCTCCTTTTCCAGTGATCCCCAGACCCAGCTCACAACCTGTACAGATCTGTGTGGACGTTTTTAATTTTTGTATAAACAAAACAGTAATATATTGATCATTTTTCACGGGATGCGCCACTTGTGGCCTTTTAACATGGGAGAGTGTGCCAGCCCAGTCCCGGAATCATCAGCATGTGAAGCTAGCAGAAAAGTGGACAGGCCAGTCCAGGGGAATTGTGACTTGAGGGCCACCCGTGGGTCTTGGCTTTCCTAGGAAGGAGACGAAGGTGGAAGTGCCTGGCTCAGGTGAAGCTGGAACGATGCCAGGTTGAGACTTCAGTCACCTGATTAACAGAGACTCACAGCTGTCCTGCCACCCTGCAAGAGCCTGTCCCCTGAAGCTCTGGAGCCCCCAGGTCACACCCTATCCAAGAAGGCCCAGGGCTTGGACAGAAGCTGCTTCTGGCCTCTCCAGCCTCCGGACTCAGCCCCAACAAGCTGCTCCCTGGACCCTGAATTCACCAGGGCAGTACAGGACTCCCACCCAGCATTTGCAGCTGCACCCAAGGAGCAGTCAGTGTAAAGCACCCAAGTGGGTCTAGCTCCTGCTAAGTTCAGTAGGCATCAGGTAGCCAGCCTGCCGTGATAACATGTGTCCTAGTCCTCTGGCTGAGCTATGTGATTTGGAGCCAGCTGCAGGGAGCCCAGTGATCCCTGAGTGTGGGGACAGAGGGTCCCAGCCTGGACTGGCTGCTGCTTCCTGTCTCTGTCTTCCCATCATCCAGAGCAGGGACAGGATGGGACTTTGCCGGGCCTCCAGCTCAGAGTTCAAGTCTCGCTAGCCCTGAGTCTCCTGCCCCGAACTCTGGTCAGCCTGCCAAAAATGGCCCTCCTGGTGAGTTGTGCAGATAAAGTGAACCTCAGGGCTGGTGCCCAGCTGGCCTGAGCAGGGAGCCTGTGATCCAGCCACCTGTGCTCTAATGAATAGGCTTTTCCACCTCTAACAAGGATTCCCAGCAACTGGCTCCATCCTGGCTACTCACCTTCCCTTTCTGTGTAGATGGATATTGCTGCGTGTAATAAACCACAAGTGTGTGTCTGGGTGTGTCCGTCTTTGCAGACTGCCCCTGGGGCACCACTGGCTGAGGTTTCATCCTGGCCATTGCTGGGTGGGGTGGGAAAGGGAGGCTCTCCCTGGGTCAGAGCCATCCCAGAAACTAGAGGTCAGTCAGGGTTGGTGCAAAGAAAGGGTTTGGAGTTAGGAAGATACAAGCTCCAGGCCTGGCTAAGTCCTCTGGTAGTCACTTCATGACACTGAGCCCCTGTATTAGTCAGGGTTCTCCAGAGAGACAGAATCAATAGGATATATTATAAATATATAAGAGGGATTTATTAGGGGAATTAGCTCATGCGATTGTGAAGAAGAGTCCCACGATAGGCTGTCTGCAAACTGGATGTCGGTAGTATGGCTCAGTCCAAGTCTGAAGGCCTCAAAACCAGGGAAGCCGAAGGTGTCCTTGGTGTAAGTCCTGGAACCCAAAGCTGAAGAGTCTCAAGCTCTGATGTCCACAGACAAGAGAGAAGAGTGTATCCCAGCTCCAGTGGATAGAGAGAGATATTCACCTTTTTTCTTTCTCTTTTATTCTCTCTGGGCCCCCAGCGAAATGGATGGTTCCCACCCACTTTGAGGGCAGGTCTTTCCCACCCAGTTCACTCAGGCTCTCATGCTAATCTCTGCTGGAAACACTGTCATGGACCACACCTAAAAAGATAGCTTTCCCAGGTTTCTTGGCATTCCTTAATCTAATCAAGGTGACACCTAGAATTAACCTTCACAGCCCCTGTGTGCTCCTCCGTTCTGTTACCAGTGACTGCTGTGTGACAAATCACCCCAAAACTTGTTGCCTTAAGACAGTGATCATTTCTATTCCTCTCACAGTTCTGGGGGTTAACAGGCTCAGCTGGGTGGTTCTCACTCAAGCTCTCCTACATCTGGTGGTTGATGCTGGCTGTCAGCTGGGACCCCCTGTGGCCTCTCTGCGTGGCTTGGGCTTCCTCACAGCATGGCAGCTGGATTCCAAGGGGGAATGTTCCAGGTGGACTAGATGGAAGCTGTGTCACCTTTGGTGGCCAAGCCTCAGAAGTCATATGGTGTAACTTTCTGCCAGAGTCAGAGGTTCACCCTGATTCAAGGGAAGGGAGATAGATCCCACTTCTCAATGGGAAAGTGTCAACATCATATTTTAAGGAGAAAATGTGGGATAATAGAACTTGTTGCAGCCATCTTAGGAAACGCCATCTGCCACCTCATCTGTAAAATGGGATGGCAATACTTACCACTCAGATTGTAGGTAAGTGGGGATCAACTGCGTGGAATACATGAATAACCTTGGACAGGTACCCAGAAATGCCCATGATTCTGATTTTCCTCACTCCTCCCAACTCCAAGCCCAAGCAATGTCCACAGTCTTGTAAAGCATTTCCACATCTCTTATCCCAACTGGTCCTTATAACAGCACTAATAGAGGGGCCCATTTCACAGATGACAAAACCAAGCACATCCAAGGTGGTGTAGACAAGAGGGGGCCTGCAGTAGTGGTCTCTGGTGGTGATAGTACACTGCCTTGATGGTATCTCAGTCTCCAAGGACTAAGGCCTAAGGAGGGCCACAATATGGGTAGTTCCCTGCAGATCCCAATATGTGACCTCCTTGCTAAGCAGAAGAGGCCCAGCCACACACTGACTAAGGAGGGAGGAATATGTCAAGTCCCCTCCTCTGTCTCCCTACGGAGCTGGCAGTAAGTGGCAGGACATTCTGCTCAGCCAGTTGTCTGGGTCTCCAGGGAAGCCAGAAGTAGGAAAAGGGAGAGAAACACAGTGGGACTGTGATGACTACTAGAGATCACTGGGTGTCAACACCTCCTTTAGAGCTCAGCATAACCTCACAAATCTGCTGTGCTCACAGTTTGCAATTCTCTCTTCCAGAACCTCACTTGATCCCTTCACCAACCCTGTGAAGGATGGGGCCTACGTGGTAGGTTCCATTTTACGTATGGGAAAACTGAGGCTCAGAGGGGGTAGTAATCTGCCCAGGGATGCACAACCAGGACATAGTGGCGAGCTTGGGACTGGACCCAGGCTCTTGGATATCCTGTAATTGTCTTTCTAAAATTGTTTGGCAGGGCATGGAATCTGATAGGCAGCCACATGATGCTGGGTGATTGGCAGGCAGATCTTCACAGGGGTAGAAGCCACATATTTCCCCCCACCCACCCCATCTCCAGACATCTGAGGGGGTCCCTTTCCTACTCCTTGGTGCGGGATGGGGCTATTCTTGGCCCATTGCTGCCCCCTTGTGGCTTCATACCTTGTATTTTCAGGCCTGCAAACTTTTTGACTGCAAACTTCAAAATTTAGAGACTGAAATGAAAAAAAAAAATTTAGAGCTTACTGAGTCCTGAAAGAACTTGGGGTAGGGACAGAGAGATTACAGAAGAGAGAATGATTTGCCCAAGGTCCCAGCTGAGACACAGGAGTACAGACTCACAGCTGGGCCTCAAGGACTGGGGAGCCTTAGGTATCCCTGCCAAGAAGGGCAGCTCTACCTCAAACTACCCCCTTCCAGAGAGAAGAGAGAGAGAAGTACATTTACTGAGCCCTGCTGTATGCCATGGCAGCTAAACTAATCACAAGGATTAGTATCTTCTTTTTTCACATGAATCTGAGGCCTGACAGAAGTGTATTTACCCAGGTCTCCTTCCTCCTGTTCCCTGGGAGACTGCTGGGAATGCAGGGGATACTTTTGGTTGTCACAATGATTGGGGGACACTCCTGGCATTCAGTGGGCAGGGTCAGGGATATTAAACATCTGAGATACATAGAACAGTCCTGCCCAATGATGAATCAGCTCACTGAGAATGCCAGTGCCACTGCCTTTGAGAAACACCATGCCCTGGGTTAAAATACTGGCTCAGCCACTTCCTCCCATCCCCTGTCCTCTTAGCCTCCAATGTTTCCTCAATGGCCAGGCATGAAATGTTTTATTTTGTGTTGATTTTTGTTGGCGGCTGGCCGGCACAAGGATCAAACCCTGGACCTTGGTGTTATTGGCACTACGTTCTAACCAATTGAGCTAAACGGCCAAGCCTAGGCATGAGATAAGGACAGAAGAGTGCATAGCATGAGGCCAGAGGCAGGAAGCAGGTGAGGCCTCCTGCTGTTGTCCTGTCTCCTGATATAGATACTCGGTCCAGGAAATGGCCCAGCCTGGTCTGCCTCTAACTGTATCGCCTCCTGACTCTGGACATCCTAGAAGCCAGTAAGATGTTAGCTGCACCAGGCTGCAGCCTTCTCACCCTGTACCCAAGGCAGGAAAAGCCCCTGAGCCAACCTGACTTCTCTGAGCTGCTGCCCTGAGCCACAGCTGTGACTTCAGTCTGAGTTGCAAGACAGGGCTGAAGATGGGCCCCAAACAGGACTCTCAGACTCCCCTACACACACACGCAGTTATATTACAAGCTGAAACCACAGGGCATGGAGGGACCAAAGAAGAGGAGCCAATAAATACACTGAGAAAACCCATGGCCGTGGTCCCACTCGCACACACACAGGACCTGGGGGCCGTGACCTTCAGAAAAGAAGTACAGCCACAAGCAATTAACCTCTCGATTAACTTGGGAGGAACTTTTTCAAGAATCATGTAAAAGTTTCAATTCTGCTTTACAATTAAAAATAAGGAATTCCACTCAGTTTAGGAAGATGAAAAAGTTCTGTGGATGGATGGTGGTGATGGTTGGATAATAATGTGAGTGTACTTAATGCCACTCAACTGTACACTTAAAAATGGTTAAAATGTCTACAAAAAGGAGGCTTAAAAATGGTTAAAATAGTAAATTTTGTTATGCATATTTTACCACAGTAAAGAAAAATGAAAACTCCAAATATTTTTAACTAAATGCTTTAAACATTTTAGAATTCTATTGGAAAGAGAAGAAATCAACAATGAGGGAGTGAAACAGAGGGCTGGGAATCAAGAAGAGAAGTAGACAGAAAAGGAGAGACAAGCAGGAGCCTCCCCCTCCCCAGCCTGCTCAGGCTGCAGCCCCAGGGACTTGGGATTCATCAAGGCAGGAAGCCCCAGTGCCCCAGCCCAGGAGGGGGTATCTCTGATATCCCAGCTCCCAGCCCCTGGGAGGCCTTTTTGTCTCATTCCCTGGTATGGGAGTCAAGCAGACCTCAATTGTCGTCCAGCCTCTGCATCAGACTTGCTGTGTGTCTAAGAGCAAAGTCCTTCCCTTTCTGGGCCAAAGTTTTGTGAATATGTACAACGGGGCTCAGGAGGCTTCCAGCCCTCTTCCTACCTAAATACTGCATGATAGTATCTCGTGTTCACCCTGCTTGGATTCTAGCGGGAATCGTGGTGCCCTGAAGGTCCAGCCCATGGTGATCTACTTGGTCAGCCCCAGCAGTGGCCCTGTGCTCTTTCTGCCCTTCCTGCTGCTCCCTCACGGAGCTGGGAAGGCCTAGGTCCTGGCCTCGAGGGGACAGTCGCTTCTCCTACTCTGATGTCCCTGCTGTGTGCCAGGCCCTGGGCTGGGTGTCAGTCACACACTCCCACATTTAACCCTCACAGTGCATCTCATTTCACGCACGGGGAAAGCGACTCAAAGACTGAGCACCGGCCCAGAAGAGGCTTGCCGGGGCTCAGAGCCTCCTCGGGTGCCAGGAGCAGCGGCGGGATCACCCGGGGACCCTTCCCCGGGAGGGAAACCGGTGGCCCGCAGGGTGAGGCCCGCGGTGCGTCCCGGGACCAGGGCGGAGGCAGCACTCGGCAAGGCGAGCACAAAACGGGCGACTGTCACGGGACGGCTTGGGAGCGGGAAGCCTGCCAGGCTTGCTGGCCGCATGAAGGAGGGAACGAGAGCGTATCGGGCCACTTGGGGGTGGGGCCGAGGTGCGAGCCGGAGACTGATGTCGCAGTCCAGGCGGGGCGCGGCCCGGGGCGGGGCCTTGGAGGCCGAGCCTGCGCGGCTGGTCTCTCCACGCGCGCCTCGGCACCCACTGGCGGCCCGGCGCCATGGCGGCTG